AGGGCTTTAGGGTTTAGGGCTTGCAAGGTTCTAAGATGGGGGGTATCATGATAATTTGGGGCTGTGTGGCATTTTGTATGCAAGTTTTGGGCTACGGTTTGGGCTCCTGGTACAAAATCGAAGCAGACTGCACGAAGCACAAAGGATCTTCCAAGGAGTCGGCTGGCTCCGTGCATGCTTTTCTGATTTCAGATGCAGAGGCGTCTCATTTTCCAGCATTTGACATCCGACCCGGTTGCCGTCATAGCTAGTTGGATGCTGCTTTTGGTCAGAGCTGCTCAGAATCCTTTGCAAAGCCGCTTGGCAGGGGCATCAAAATGATGCCCTCGTGTTCCACATGCAGCCAGCAGTAGTTGTCTGACCAGGGCGAGCTAGAAAGAAGAGATCGCGTTTCTGCGAGCACGACATGGTGCATGGTGGCAAGGGTGGAAACCAGCTCCTTGGGATTCCAGTGGTTTTTTCACGTCATTTGACCTCGGAGCGACTTCAAGGGCATAGGGCATAGGTCCAACCAAGGGAGGCACGACATGCATCCGTCTATCTGACCATGGTGAGAGAAATCCGGTAGAAAGGAATGTAGCGATGTTGCAGTCAAGTTCCCCGTCTTACATGCTGCCGTAGACAATAGCAGCTTGCTTTTCGCCAAGATGCTATGTAGGAAAGTGCGGGCTTGAGCCGTTCCTGATTTGCACATTGCGGAAGGGCCCGGATTGAAGTGTGTTCTCCAATGCCGGTACGGTCAGCAGTTTCCTCGGAGTTCCCCAAGGTCAAGAGAGTTCCTCCAACTCTGCAGCGCCCACCACCTTTAGAGGGAAATTGATGAAGGATCTTTAGGCCTCTGATGATGGACTTGGTGACCGACATCGCGCTGGCTCTGCATGCTGTGGCGTAGGGAGTCAACACATCAACAAATCGCGGACACCCTGCATATCAACGGAACAAGCCGCAATGCAAGTAACCAAGCATACACTCCGAGCAGCCCAGGATCAATGCAAGTGCAAAAGCACGAGGTCATGTCCACCTAGTGAAACCCAGGTGTATTTCGCATGTGATAACTGTATCCACAACTGCACATATTGTTTGTGTGTATATGTGCTTTATGTATGTATGTTCGTGTGTATGTGTAAATAAAGGTATATCTATACATCCATATCTAACTAATAATTTGTGTGTACATGTATAAATGTAGAAACGGTGAGGCAAGCACCCTGCCAGCAACTGATAAGACTTGCTCAAAGTCAAGATTCTGAGATCATTGCAGCCCGACCCCACCCGAGAGCCGCAAACAGACGAGCTTCCCAGTCACAGTGCAGTGCTTTGACCACACCAGCACAGGCTGATGACAGGTAGAGCGCCGAAGTGCGCGATCAGCTACCATGGCGGGCATCCCACATTCCATGCAGTCGCATGCTGCCCACCATGGGCACACCGCAGCGCATCCCTCAGAGCTCTTCGGTGCAGAGCACGAGCGCGACGAGGAGCCAGAAGCCGGACAAACCGGTCTTTTGGCTCTTGGGACGACTGTGTTGGCATCAGGGGAGCTGGAGTTCGATGAAGATCTCACAGCTGTAAAGCACGACGAGGCTCTCTATAGCGCTGTGAACACCATGAAGCGCCACAAAACCATCACGTATGACGACATAGTTATGTCCCAGGGAGTCCGACAAAGCGTTTACTTGGAGTACATAAAGTGGGAGATTGACACCGAGAATACATTTCTGGAGCTTCCTCTCACGATCGTTGTGCTGGTCTCTTTTACCATCCTCGCTCTGTATATACTGCACCAGGAACAGCTCTATGCAATAGAGGAAGCTTTCGAACGAGATATCATCGAAAATGCAAACTTCGCTTGGAGTGGCTATTTTGGCCACAAAGGCATTGACCAGGCGGGAGTTGCTCCAAATTCGAGTTCGAGGGACGTGTTACAGTAGGCTCGTATCAATCAAACAGGCATAGCTTCCAACCGACTTCCATGTTGAGCAGCCATAAACCCAAGCCGAGCCCCAACCCTAGACGGCTCCTCAAAGGAAGCCCCAAACTTTAGCAACGCCAAGGTTATGTCTGTCGCAGACTTCTGGTCATGGATGCGTCTTGGTTTCCTCTCCTTGCTGGGCAGGTCGGGGCGTGCGGTGGAAGTAGTAAGTAGTAGTCGTCGTCGTAGCAGCAGGCGCCGCAGTAGTCGTCGTCGCAGTGGTAGTAATCGGTATTTAGTAGTCGTCGTCGTCGTGGTCGTAGTCGCAGTAGTAGTAGTAGTAGTAGTAGTAGTAGTAGTAGTAGTAGTAAGTAGTAGTTAGTATTTAGTAGTTAGTAGTTAGTAGCTAGTAGTTAGTAGCTAGTAGTTAGTAGCTAGTAGTTAGTAGTTAGTGGTTAGTA